AGAAGCTGTGGTACATTTACAGAAGGTAACTATTTTTCTATAGAAATCCCATGTGGGTTTTAGAGTAGTTTTCACAACCTCTCCTGGGACATCATTTACTTTGAAATTTCCATAATATAGTATAAGGGATTTGACACTTTCTACTGCATTAATTTTTACCGCATGGTTTGACAACTAATTTATAGTACAAAAAAAAAAAAAAAAATCACTACACTTCAATGCCACCCCATAATGTAATCTTTATAAAGGCATTTAAAACTACAATCAGGAATCACATTTAGGTTAAAACTCACCACAGAAATCACCAATACAAATAAATGAAAAAAAAACAAACAAAAAAACGCATCAAAGAAGATAATTGAAATCTTCCACAAAAGGGCAAGTTCACAGAAACTCAGGCAATAGCTACCTCTTTATTAAAAATTCTGCTTGGTGGTTGTTGGCAACTTTTTTTTTTTAAACCTCAATTATAAGAGACATGCTCATTACAAAACATCCTGAATTCAGAAACATTAAAATGTGTGTGTGTGTTGGGGGCAGGGGTTTATATTAAAACCTAGAAAATGCAGTTGTAAGGCAGAAAGCAAATCTATAACTTAAAATGAGAACCACAACTGGCTGAAAAGCCAGACAGTATTTACAGAGGGAGAAAACATTTTGTCTCCTGCACACGCACTATATGAACAGCCAGGTCATCTGGAGGCTACACGTACACACTGGGATAAAGCGCTGACTGCCTGCTGCAATCTGTCTTCATCAGTCCAGCGACCATAACAGACATTATCCCACCGACAGCACATAAGGTGGGATCGTTTGAACTCACTTTCATTACAGAACAAGTTCCCTTCCAAACGACTCAATACATATTTCTCCAAATATGTTAATTTAACAGGTAAGAGTCACATCTTAGTCTGCCCATAAAGTTAGTTACTTCCTTCTGATGATTTTGAAAACGCTCTGCTTTGATTCACGTGAGTTTATAATAAACTGTCCGAAGATGAACTTACTTCAAATTACACCTCCTCCAGTTATACATGTGCACACACACAAATATACCAACTATTATAAATAAAACAAAGATTTCTTAAATAGAAATCTTACTGCCCTCAGAGAGGTCTAAAATAAAAATGGAACTTTAGATGATACAAAACATGCTATGATCCAGTGACATTTAAAAACCAACAAAATCAAGACTAAGAATTTGCTAACGATATTTATCTAATTTTTTTGTTTGTTCTGAAACATTTTAGAAGATGAGGAACAAGGAAATGAAGAGAGGATATGCTCATAAAATGTGTATCATGTCCATCGACTACACAAGTTACTAGGTCCATAAACTAAACAACGAAGTACATGAAAGAGGAAAAGTATATGAGGTAGGCAGTCCCTGACTTAAGGGCAATCTTTATAGATGAACACTCACTGTGGCATTTTGAATTTGTTTCCATCCTGCCAAAATACCACCCACAGTAGATAACCACTTGCAACACTCTGAATCACTCCCTGCCGTGATCACTTTGGGCCTCCTACCTAAAACCTCTGCTGGGGCAGCTGCCTAAACCCTGAGAGCGTCCACCTAGCCGGTCAATTTTCTTCTTTAGTTACTAGCAGGTGGGTATTTTGATATATACTACATTTTCTTTAAGAAAGTTGTTGTGGGCTAGTCTGGAAACCAAACCAACATTTAGAATGTAATCTCTGTAAATATAAATTTGAAACTCCAAATTACCAACTTACATTAAAATTTCTACAATTCCTCCTCTTCTGGAATTTGACTGTAAATGTATCCAGCCTGCAAAACAAGTCCAGCTCTCCTTGCTACTTTAGATAAGGCAGTAAAAGGTATAAATAAGCACTATGCCGGATAAAATTGTGATTTAAATTGTTAAAAAAGAGACAACAGGCCAAAGATGGGGTCACTTGCATCAAGCCCCAAGTCAGTAAACCAAGACTTAATACCTCACCTAATTGTAGTTTCAGCCTCTTCCAGGAATGTAACCTATAACCAGGCAATCTGAAATTAGCTGATCAGCACTAGTAAGGTAATCTGCCAGACAGACCCCTGCCTTCCCCGAAGGAAGATGACCTTGCCTGAGATTATTTGCACTTTGAGAACAAGTTCCTTCTCTAGATCCCCCTTTGCCTATAAAAACCCTTCATTTTGTATGACCCTTGTATCTACTAGATGGGATGCTGCATGATTCCTGAATCATTGAATAAAGCCAATTAGATATTCAAATTTACTCAGTTGAGTTTTGTTTAACAACTAACACAATTTAGAGGCCCAGTCTCTACGATGCATCTCTCTCTACAGAATCAACTTCTAGGAATTCAAATATAAAGTTGTGAGGAGTCCAAAGAGTCTAGCAGACTAAAAAGGAGACTAAAAAGAGTCTGTTTCAAAGATTCTCTGACTTGCCTTGTTCTAAACTGTAATAATCCTAGATGCGTCACCTAGGCATTAAACGCATTGTTTGCGGGTAGTTTTTATCGCCCGTTCTACTACCAGTCAACGTAAAATGTATAAATACGTTTCCCGCATACAATGTGTTAAGAGACCAATTTTCACAGAGACTCATCATTTGTGATAGATGACATTTTGGGCCTCAAAGACAGCAGAATATGCTACCCCAAAGTAATTTTTTTGGCATAAGGGATTATTTTAAGATGATTCAGAAAGAGCAGACACAGGAGGGGCTCTAAAAACAGAGTAGAAGTTACCCTTCAGAAAGAGAAATTTACATTTAAAAGGAAATAACTGGTAAGGGTGTCTCCCTCTCAGTACCAGAAAGAGGGTAACTCAAAATCACGACAGAATAAAGACTCTTACTAAAGGGAGAGGGCACCACCTAAAATCAGCACAACAAACCCCACTGTTTCCTGATTTCCCTGGTAACTTCCCATAACTGGCTTCCCACCCTCATTTTCTTCTAGTATTTAGTTAAAGGTGATATTTAAGGCCATATTCTAAACTACCTTGAAAATTGCTCATTTCCCCTTGGTTATCTCACACACATACAGCAGGTATACTTGTCAATAAACTTGTTTGTTTTTCTCTTGCTATCTGTCTTTTATTACAGGGGTCTCAGCCAAGTACTCAAAAGGGTATAAGAATTATTTATTCCGCCCTTACAGGGCTCTGCGTTCAAAACAGGGCAGTGTTAGAATTCCTACAACCATGTGATGGAGAAGCACAGGACCAATAGGCCACCTCTATCCTAAATCAGAGCTCCTCCTCCTTTTACCCATTGTAGGTCACTGTCCAAGATTTAAAACTTCAAGAACCATATATAATATTTTTGTGAAGAAGCTATTTTGCTTCTTGTGAATGTTTATAGACAGTGTAGATTAAAAATGGCTGCAACTTTAGTTACTGTTTGCACTGTTTACTAACTTTTGAAATGGAATAGTGTCAAATATTTAAAACCTACATCCTTTGTTTATGGTATCTCCAAGCAGAAGGCTACATATTGGTTCTTTAAGATAACATTATTGGTTCTTTAAGATACCAAGTAAGTGATATAGTAGAAAACTTGAATGACTTTAGCACAGTTAAATCAGGAAATTAAAACTGCAAAATACTGACACACACAAAGACTGTTTTCTAGATACATTACACAAAAAGTGAATGTACAGACTACTAAGATTGTGTGCAACTATATTACGTGGTCAAAGTAAATACTTTTGTGCTTTTAAAGTTCAAGGCCAGAGTATTAAGACTTAAGGATATTTATTTTAAAGACACCTGTAATAAACATAATAATTAGAGAAGATAATGATAAGATAATGGAGGTAAGTATAAGAAACAAGCCCGCCCGGCAGGGCGTGGCTCAACGGTTGAGCGTCGACCTAGGATCCAGGCGATTGGGGTTCGATTCCCAGTCAGGGCACATGCCCAGGTTGCAGGCTTGATCCCCAGTCAGGGGCGTGCAGGAGGCAGCCAATCAATGACTCTCATATCATGGATGTTTCTATCTCTCCCCCTCTCCTTTCCTCTCTCTAAAATCAATAAAGATATATTAAAAAAAAAACACAACAAGCCCAATAACTTTTACCTCAAATTTGAGGTAAAATGCAAATACTTTTTATTTCTTAAGTAACTGAATTTCGACTAGATTATGCAAAATAGCCAATTCAATTTCATAATGCAAAAAGATTTGGATATAATCAACAGGTGCATTTACTAAAAGATACTTTTACTTACTCGCTGGAAATGAATGGGAAAAAGTTCTCTATTGTCACTACTGTAATAATGTGGCCGAAACACTACCTTATCAGAGAGCGATTCCTAAATCAATTTGCAAAAATGCTACGCAAAGTAACATGTTCATTTCAACATTATATTCTACCTCTCCCAACAATAACTTTAATTCTTTTAATCTGAGGAGAGGTTCCAGATTAAGTAAATGCTCCTACGTAGGTTAACCTTTGGATGATCCTAGGCTGTAGGATCCAGCTCTGTTTTAGTCATTGTTTCATCCCAAGCTCCTAATACCATACCTCATACTTGAGAGGATGACGTTTGTTCAATGAAGTTGGGGCACTCTTTGAAACAACCTTTCAACTGGCTTCACTGCTTACTGGTGCTCTTCCTACTTATTCTAATACAAACCAAATTATACACTTGAAAAATCTTGAAATTTCTCATATGCCTTTGAAGTTTGTCCTTCTATTCATGAAATTTTGAAAAAAGCTCTCATTTTTCCTTTATTATATTCCATTTATTTAAAGTCAGGAGTGAACTATTTGATTTTTTTTTCAAATTTATTTCAGAATGTACCGAAACTACACTGAAAATCTCTCCTAGGGTTCTGAATATCTAGAGACACTGTGGTCAGGAAATAATGGCAAAGCCAAAGCACCAGGCCTAACTCAAACACCAGCTGGCCTCCAGGGCTCCTAGGTGGCCAGTCCTTCCTAGCCTCTTAAATTTTACCTGAAACATGAAGTTCATAAAACTAAGGTAATTCTAACTTAAAATATTAAACCATAGGACTTACCATTATAGGTTATTCTTGGCTTCGTTAAACACATCACAAGATGTAAATCCATTTCATCTGAGGGTACAAATTTTGAGCATACAGGGCATTTAAATCCTAAAAAGGAAAAAAAAAAGCCATAAAAAAAAGCCATGTTACTTCACTTTTCTGAATATCCAACTATGATTTTTTTTTTTTATAAGCATGGAAGACAAACAGCATTTCAAACTTCGATATTACACTTACAACAATATACTACTTATGTACAATTTAAAATTGGGAAAAGAGTTTGTGACTGTAATATCCAACTTAAAAATCAGTTTATGAAGATCATCCCACTGCCAATAAAATGAATTCAAATGAGGAGAACTGGTTCACTACAAAGTTTATGTAGGGGTCCAATCATTCTCGTATCTAATTTAACATTAACCTGAACTTACGATTTTGTTGTAATAGCTTTGTATTCTGTCCGTGCTGTGGAAATTGCCTTCCCCAGCCTGGTATAGTACAATCTGAGTCATGGGTTCTGCAGCTAGACAGTATCTTAGAAACTATTCTAATCCACTGGCCTTTTAAATATTTTTTCTGATGAAGAAAGTGAAGCCTTTCAGAACAGCAAACTCAGGTCTAGAATCTAAGACTGCTGACTTCTAGTACAGTGGCCTTTCTGCCACACCATGCTACTAAAGTCACAATGCAAACAGGGAACAGCAGCATCAAACAGGGCAGATTTCTCAGTCAATCCTGACACTTAAATATTAGCTAGTTTCCTACAATATTCAGTCTGTAATGTGTTATGCATTCAGCTCCTTCCTGCCCCTCAATCACCAATGGGAACAGTCCCTTTCATGGTCCCTTACCATTTCCCTGCTGCTCTCCTGCTCCCTCTAACATCCCTAAGGTGCTTAACACCTAATCCAAGAAAGCCACTTTATAGTTTAGCTAGGAACAACAATCAAAAATGGCATAAAGAGATAGTCTGAGCCAATCTGTTTTTCTTAGAAATGTAACTAAAAACAGCGAGAGGGGACACTGGTCAGCTGTAAAGGGCTGAAGCCAAAAGGTGGCATGTAGGTAAGAGAGAGCCTGGAGTGCCCATCCTGGCTCATGTATAAGCTGAACAAGAGAAGAGACACTATAGGTAAACAGAGGAAAACGGTGCACGTGGAGGTCTTGGAGCAGATGTGCGGAGGAGTGGAAGCCACGGAAACAACAGCTAGTAAGAAGGGCAGTGAAAGAAGCCTGCCCCGAAAGCTGCCTCAGTCCAGCAGCTCTCCACTGCAGTACACGTGCATTCTCATCGGCACTTGCTTCTCCTCACTGTGACATGAAACTCACTGCAACCTAGTGAGAGAGACTAGGGCAATGCCTTGACAATGCCGTCAGTAAGGCTGCGGGGAAACAGGCACTTTACCCAGCGTTACTGGGAATGCAAAATTGTACTACTCCACAGAAAGTAATTAGACAATATCTAACTAGATTACCTATGTATTTATCTTAGCAATCTCATTACTAGGATCTCACCCTGAAGGTATATCCCCAACAACACCAAATAACATATGCCCAGATAGAGGATTCTGGGACGAGAGCAGAGTAGGAAGCACTGGAGGAATCTCTCCCCACCTAGACAACCGCTGCACTGGTGCCATCTGACTATATCTGACGTCACGATTTTGGAACTCTGGAGTCTACTGAAAGCTTGCAACTCCCAGGGGAAGACTTGAACAGTATACTGTGGTTAATTTTAGCTCCTTAGCACAGTAGCAGCTTCTCGTCCTCCACCACTGCCACATGACAGGCAGCAATGCACTTGTTCCTGGAACAGCTTGCACATAGCTTCCAGAAGCCAGGGTGGGCAAAAAGTCCGTGTCCTCCAAATATTGGGAACCTGTGCTCTGATGGCTGATTGCTGCTTCTGATCCAGGAGGCACAAAGAGAAAGGTGCTCACTGTTGCTGGACCACCCTGCCATGGTTTTAAGCTTCTCCCACCCTGGCTGAAAAGACTTCCGCCCCAACTTCCATCTACAATTGCTTAAAAGACTCCAAGTGAGAACCCTAGAATCCCATCAACTGATCCATGTCTACTCACAGAACCTTGAGCAAGAAATAAATTTATGTTGTAATTAAAACACACACACACACAGTAATTTACTGCAGCACTCTCTGAAACAGCCCAAGATCAGAAACACATAACAAATCCGGTGAATAAACCATTATTCATCTACACAATGGGGTAATACAAAGCTATAAAAAAAGAAATGAGGAAGGTCTCTATAAACTGATATAGAGAGGTATTTATAGTGAAAAAAGCAATATGAAAAAGAATGTACATGTTATGCTAGCTACTGTAAAACAGAATACATGAATATGTATCTGCCGCAAGAAAAACAAAAGGGATACGCTTCAAACTAAGGTTTACATACATGTTGCCTACAGGTGGTGAGAATGTGGTCACAACACAGAGAAGGCGGTATTCCTGATGATACCTTTTAATACAGTTTTTGACTTTTAAATAATGTTAATGATATATGAATTTAAAAATAAAAAATGAACAAGGATTAGGGGGGAAAAACACCATTAAAATGAAATAAATGGAAACAAATTAACTTAACTATATATAAAATAGATACAAAGAAAAATACATTCACAGGCACACACAGCTCAGTCCACTGAAAGGCCTTAGAAGCAATAGCACCTCGATAGTAAAATCCAGCCCCCAGATCTTGGGCTTCTAAATATCATTTCCCCATGAAAAGAAACCAGGGCTCCTTGGAGAAATGCTGGCTCCAGGTCTGGGGCAGGGAAAATACAAGGTGAGCCTGGAAGAGCTTGTTGTGCCAAATTAAGGAAGTGCTCAAACACTGACATAAACACATAACAAGGCAGAGGAGCCAGCTTGAAAGGGCTCCTCCTCATCAAATTTGGACAATCTCAGAATCAAAATGAATAATGACATGCTATTTTAAATTTAAGAGGAATGCAAAATTACATAATAATTATTACACATTCTTAAAGAATCAAGCCAAGATCACTTAATTAACAAAGATAAAGGTACTTTTAAAATGGAGAAACTGGCTGATATCACCTTAAACAAATGTTCAAATTGGTATTACCAACAAATGGACAAGCTGACATCTGTGCCCCATGATATGATTCACCGAGGACATGATATTTATGTGTATTTCTGCAAAATACATTTTGAATCTAATTATGAGAAAAAATTTTAACAGCCTCCAACATGTAAATTGTACACCAAGACAAATTAATAGAAAAGGGGTACTATGATAAAACAGTCAAGCAGGAAACAAGAAGACTTAAGCATTGCCAATCCTCAAAAATCTTATAAAATTTCTATATTTTTCTATTTATTTGCTTTTGTCTCTATTGATTTGTTTTGGTGTCCATCTTGCATGTTGAAGGTTTTTTCCAAATTTTCTCAATTGTCTCAAAAATTCAAAATGATATTGCATCCATTAAACAAGAACAGGAGGCTATAAACTAAGAACAGAGAAGCAAACAAAACCTCTTGATAATTAAACCTTTGAAAGAAAATAAGAATTCAAATAGGCAGAATATTAACTTGAGGTAATAATACCAAATGAAAATAAAAATTAACATTTACTATGTAACAGGAAATTATCTAAGCACACTGGATGACTGACTCATTTATCCCCACATCCTTTGAGTTAGGTAGCAGTATGAACTCTATTTACGATGAAAAACTGAAAGGATAAGTAATCTATGTAGTCACACAGCTAGAGACTGGCAATGCCAGAATTCAAACAGACCTGGAGAGCCTAAACCCTCTCCACATCTCAAGTAGACCCAAAAGCCAAAAATGAGTACGTAATGAAATCTGAAGAATTAATCCAGGTGGTTTAACATCCAACCAACTAGAAAAAGACTTAAGAGGAAGAAATTACCAGAGACATAATTTCCCAAGTTGAAGTTCATGGCTATTGTGTATAAAAAAGGGGTTCTGTACTAAAATGACAAATCCAGTGACAGAAAGTGATCTCACAGGGTGGTCTGATCATAAATTCCTAACTGGGCAGTTGAGCGCCCCAGGCATATAACTTCTTTAATAAAAGGTTTACCTTTGCCTTAAGCAAGCCCTGTCCATTGTTCTTGTGCATCTAGGCTAACACACCTTAGAAATGCCAGAGTAATGCTCTTTTTCAGACCCTTTGGAGGCATAACCACCCTCAAGGGAGCACATCATCTTAATTACCCTGTAACCCAATCCCCGCCTTGCTTTCTCCCACCTCCTTGTGATCTTACTTCCCTCCTTAATTCCAAATGTACAAAATAAACTGCAAACTGTCATTCTCCAGAGCATTGGAGAGCTTGCTCCTGGCAATGCTGTCAGTTTGGCTCGAAGAAACTTATAGAAATTCCTACAGATGCAAACATTTCTTACGTCAACAATATATAGGCTGAGGGAGTGCACTGATACAATAAATTATTATCAATAGGCATACCAAGGTACACTACTATGAAATAACAAAGCATCAGCAATAAAGAGCAAAGGCCAGTGTTTTCAAAACGAAAAAAGAGCAATGTTAAAATACCTAGAACAGTTTCCCAGGCTTTTACATTTTTTTTGGTCTTTCATGATATTAATATTTTTGGAGAGTCTAGTTCAGCTGCTTTTAGGAATCAGAATGGCATTAGTCTTCTCAACAGCAACACTTGAAAGAAGAAGACAAATGAAGCATAATTTCAAAGTTATTAAAGAAAATGATTTCATTTAGACTATATACCCTTTGTATCTCTTCTGTATGTTGATGATGCTTCCAATACTGCAGTGTAGCACGCGGTACTATAATTACTCATTTATGTGTCTATCTTCCTTAGCAGCTTTAATGGCCTCATGAAAACACAAACTTTGAAGGCTGATGATGTCACTTACATGCTGGTAATCTGGTGAGGATTATCTGTTATGAAAAATTTCCTCAGAAAATGCAAGCGAATTTACCTAAATAACCACAGGCAACAGCAGCAGCAGACTACCTGTCTTCGAACTGTCATGGTTTCTAATAGGTAAAACTTGTGCTATAAAAGATGCTCCAGAAGCCGAAGGGAAGCATTTAAGTAAAACCTATATTGTTTAAAA